GAACCTGGCTGAGTTTGGCCCTGGCTGAGTTCGAACCTGGCTGAGTTCGGCCACAGCTGATTTCGGCCCTGGCTGAGTTCGCCCACGGCTGAGTTAGGCCCTGGCTGAGTTCGGCCCTTGCCGAGTTCAGCCCTGGCTGAGTTCGGCCACAGCTAATTTCGGCCCTGGCTGAGTTTGGCCCTGGCTGAGTTTGGCCCTGGCTGAGTTCGGCCAGGGCTGATTTCGGCCAGGGCTGAGTTTGGCCTGGGCTGATTTCGGCCCTGGTTGAATTTGGCCCTGGCTGAGTTTGGCCCTTGCTGAGTTTGGGCCTGGCTGAGTTCGGCCAAGGCTGATTTCGGCCAGGGCTGAGTTCGGCCCGAGCTGAGTTCGGCCCTGGCTGAGTTTGGCTCTGGCTGAGATCGAACGTAGCTGAGTCTGGCCCTGGCTGAGTTCGAACCTGGCTGAGTTTGGCCACGGTTTATTTTGGCCCTGGCTGAGGTCGGCCAGGGCTGAGTTCGGCCCGGGCTGATTTCTGCCCTGGCTGAGTTTTGCCCTTGCTGAGTTCGAACCTGCCTGAGTTTGGCCCTGGCTGAATACGAACATGTCTGAGTTTGGCCACGGCTGATTTCGGCCCTAGCTGAGTTAGGCCCTTGCTGAGTTCGGCCCCTGCTGAGTTTGGCCCTTGCTGAGTTGGAACCTGGCCGAATTTGGCCCTTGCTGAGTTCGAACCTGGCTGGGTTTGGCCACGGCTGTTTTCAGCCCTGGCTGAGTTCGGCCATGGCTGATTTCGGCCAGGGCTGAGTTCGACCCTGGCTGAATTTGGCCCTGGCTGAGTTTTGCCCTGGCTGAGCTCGAATCTGGCTGAGTTTGCCTGGCTGAGTTCGGCCAGGGCAGATTTCGGCCCTGGCTGAGTTCGGCCACGGATGATTTCGGCCAGGGCTGAGTTCGGCCTGGGCTGATTTCGGCCCTGGCTGAGTTCGGCCCGGGCTGATTTCAGCCTGGGCTGATTTCTGCGCTGGCTGAGTTTGGCCCTGGCTGAGTTCAAACCTGGCTGAGTTCGGCCTTGGCTGATTTCGGCCCTGGCTGAGTTTGGCCCTGGCTGAGTTCGGCCCAGGCCCACTTAAACAGGGCTGACTCAACCTTGGCCGAGTCAGCCCAGGCCCACTCGACCTGGTCACTCAACCTTACCGGGCTTATTCAACCAAGGCCCAGTGAACCAAGGCCCAGTGAACCAAGGCCCACTCAACCTCAGTTTAATCAGCCTGTGTTCCATCAACCATGGGCTCAATCAACCTGGGCCCAATCAACCCATGCCCACTCAACCTTGGCCTACACATCCCAGGCCCCACACATCCCGGGTCCACCTATTCAATGGCCCAATCACCAAGGCTGACTTAAACCAGTCCTTTTAGCCCGGGCCCACTCATCCCGGGCTAACTCAACCGGGGTTCACTCAACCCCGGGCCCACTCATCCCTGAAAATAACCACTTAGCTTGGGCTGACTCAACCAAAACCCATTCAACCTGGGGTTAATCAGCCTGTTTTCAATCAACCTGGGCTCAATCAACCTGGGCTCAATCAACCTGGGCCGAATTATCTCAAGCCAACTCAACCCCCGGTCTTCTCAACCAGCTCTGACTCTTCCATGCCCATTCAACTCAGGCCCACTCAGCCCGGGCCGAGTCAGCCCGGGCCGAGTCAGCCCGGGCCCACTCATTGGTTTACGAATTGCATCAAAACTTTAGGACAGTGTACCAAAATTAAGGAAATTTACCATTCTTAAGCTATGTCCCTGTCGACAATCTCCAGCTATGCCTCAATTTTTTCACTGTAGCACCAAAATCCGGTTAAATCTAAAGAAACGTCCATATATAACTGTAACTGTAACTGTAACTCGTAACTGTAACTGTAAACTGTAACTCGTGACCGAATGGTCCAAAAACAACATATTTTTTCAAAATAAACCAGAGTCACGTTGCCCCTTATGGAACGATTCTAGTTAAAATTGTTTCCTCAGCTTTTTGGTACTTCCTAGTAAAATAAAAGTACTACAAGCACATTCTTTGCTTTATAATCTAGATGTTTGTGTAAAGACAGTCTTATCGGCTTTTCTCTCTTCCTGTACGAGCAACATTACTACAGGCTACTGTTCTTCGTGAATAACTTAGGCCATCGCCCCTTATGGAACGACTCAAATTTAGGCATGCATAAAGGGCACAATTTAGGAAAACCGGGAATTATTATCTGCCTTCTTTCTCTCTACCTTTATCATTCGTCAGTATCAAATCAGATTTCAATTGAGCCATTTGTTTTCAAATTCAGGTTAAAGAAAACAAAGCTATCCCCCAGTTTGGTTTTCTTACTTGAATGAGACTTAATCACGTGTCACACGTTCATCCACTCATGAATCACAACAGTAAGCCCGCCGTTCCATTGAAGAAGCCACTAGGCCAATGAAAGTGCTCCTGATAAAAAATTCCGGTGAATGAAAATTGTGCAAGCTATTGTTTGGGTTTCAACGAATATTCCTTTTTGGGAGATAAAGAAACACGTTGTGGGGGTTGGTTTTGTTTCAGCTGAAAAACCGACCGAGGGAATGACCAAGAAAGTTGAGGTGCAGGAAAAAAAAAGTGTTGAAGATCTAATGACAACTTTTTCGTTTACATTCCACTTACTTTTAAAATATCCTCCTAGCTTTTAAGAACAAAATGAAACAACAATAATTAGCAAAGAGTTAAAGTAATTTCGTCAGCAAAATAATTTCGCGCGTTTTTTGAAGATAAACAAACCCAAACTCCTTCATATTTATTTTTATTATTGCACAGTCAGAATCCATGAAAAAATCTAATCGTTCCTTAAGGGGAGACGCGACTCTAATCTAAAAATGAAGATTTCAATTCTGAAGTCCATTGTTGAGAAAGATTCATAGATAGAGAGATACATAATAAATGACGTCAACCCGGGACGGGGAATTCGCACACAGAAAATTTCAGCTCAAGGTGTTGAAGTAAAAGCGATGAATTGTGGGACGTCTTCTATTGTGTTTTGGACAATCATGATCATAAAGCGTGACCTGACATCCACCAGTGTCAAAAACACAAACACATTGAAGAACATGGATGTTTTGACAGGCAAGCGAAAAAGGTAACCGTTCGTTTCATTAATGAATTTAGTATAAGGCCTGGTTCAAACGTCGCGCTTCTCATGTGCCGAACCTAACTCGAGAATTAAGTACATGAGGGGCGCGACGTTTGAATCAATTTGGTACGGCAGATTTAATTAGGAGCGGCAGATTAGTTTGGATCGGCAGAGCTTGCCGAGCTGCACGGCTCCAGCAGGGCACGGTTTCAAGCGTCAAACTTGTCATGTACCGAACCTAATGCATAATTATATTTAATTCATTTTCTTTCACAGAAATATTTTTTTCTTTGAGGGCGCATGCGTTTCAAATAAATATTTGAGATTGTGCGCCTTAACCAAGATACTTCATGTAACAATCCTAAAACCCATTTGGCGCGACATGATTAAAGGACAAGTGACACACTTTTCACCCTATCTTTTCTTTTCATTAACTTATAGATCATCTTTTAGAAGTAAGTTTTTCCTGGTTTACAACAAAAAATTCTAATCAGGGGGCGCAGGGGACACTATTTTGCTTTTTATCACGTGACCCTATGTCGTACATTGTGATAACTCGGAATTTTCCTGTAGTTAATAGAAAGTTTACGAAACACGACGCAACAGGTCCAGACAAACTGAATTCGTTTAGAAGCGTGTTGTAAACGTTAATATTGCACTGTATACCAGTAGCAGCAATAACAAATTATCACAATCTACGTCACGGTGTCACGTGATTCATTTCCCGCCATAACTTGAAAAGGGTTTTTAAGTAGGAAAATGGAATCAGAAAGGAAAAATATTTCAACAACACTCTCATACAGCATTTAACTTTAAGTTAAAAGAAGAAAAAAATTTGGCGCCAAAAGCGTGTCACTTGTCCTTTAAGTTCGACGTTTGAAACGGGAGTCGCGCTAAAGGTGCTCAAGTGTCGCTCCAAACAGAGTTAGGTTCGGCACATGAGAAGTGCGACGTTGAACCAGGCCTAAGTTATCCGTTGGTGTTATTATTTTCGTCAGGGCCGTCGAGAGACGGGCCGGGCCCCAGGGCTGGGACTGTCATGGGGCCCCACCGTCGAAGGCTGCAAAAACCTTTTTTGGGTTACGCCCTTAGCAATGCAGTTAGATGGACTGTAAAAGGCATGAATTTTGAAATAAACGCCCCTGAAACACTTGAATTTGTATTTTAAGGTCTTTAACAGAACATGTAATTAGTGACTTTATAAAACAAATCATTAAAACAAATCAGTTTAAAAATCAGAGTTAATTTAATGTTTAAAAAACTGCTTTTCTTGCTTTCCTTATGGCGAAATCCCTAATCTTTTCTTGCTTTCCTTATGGCGAAATCCTTAATTATTTCCCACAATCTTTTCCAGCTGTCGTTCGCTCCCCAACCATCAGGAGAAGTCAATTTTGATTTTGAACCAATATTAATAGTGTGCCCAAACAACCTGCATGGCAAACAATAGAGTGCAGCCTTTGTAGGACTGAAAACAAGCCAGCTTTTTACTACCTCCCCATTTTGCTGCTTCACATTTAGGACCATTGTTGGAAATTTGTGGCCGTCGCAATCTTTGGGAAACTCTGGAGGATGAGGCAAATGACCAATTTTAACAACCTTTTCTAACTCCTTTATCGTTGGAAATCCGGTCAATGTGCCGACATCAAAACTAGATGATCCACTATGAACAGTATCTTGATCTAATGACGAATCAGTAGTGCTTTCTCTACTTTCTGTGGTGTCAGGGTCTACCGAAGCAGCCAAGCCGTTTGTGTCTTCTTCTTCTTCAGCAATGCTTCGAACAGAGCTTTCTCCAGGTTTATTGAAAGTTGAATCACCTTCCTTGTCTCTTTTGTAAGCACCTACCTCAAACAATGTGCGAGAGGCCCTCTTTGCTCTTTTTCTCGTATCTTTTTTCCTGCCTTTTCTGAGCACCAGACTTGTGCCTGTAAGATGACATCGCAGGGGTTGGTTGGATCGTGATCCCGCTTAGTGATTTTGATAAAGACTTTTATAGCGTTTGGATTTGTCTTGGTTCTTCGCATGTGCTTCTTCTCTGGTGTACGCCGTGAATGGAAGATTTACTTTTACGTTTATAGGAAGTCCACACAAGGAATAACTAAAACATTTGACCTAAAAGTAGTTATATGTAAGTGCAATCGAATTTTTCGGCTTCCAGAGAAGTATATTATGATCGTATCGTCAATGTTCTAATTATAAACCTTAACAAGAACAGGCCCTCATCATAGACCAGCTTGTTGATCCCATGTTGAAAGATTAAATTTCAAATATCAATCGGGTCATGCTAATGCTGCTAATTGAAAACTCATAGCCAAAAGTACATGCAATATTTTCTACGGGCCCCTCAAGGCCCCGGGCCCCCTGGTAACTACCCTGGTTACCCCCCCCCCCCTCTCGACGGTCCTGATTTTCGTACAGGATCTTGCCTCCCTCTAATGATTTCAACCCACATAATACACTGGGGTCGCAAAAGTATGGAAGCGGTAGGGCAAAATGGCGGCTCACAGTGACCGTGACCACGGGCCTCAGCCGACCAATTTCACAATCAGAATTATGAGGCGAAGGGGCTTGGAAACGATAGGTTATGGCGGGAAAATGGAGCGATGTTATGGCTGGAAAAATGCTTTCACCATTCCTTCAACTTCGGTTTAAAGAAATTTAATGATCGGTTTGCTGTTTTGAGGGGAGAAATTCAGCAAAACTTTGGAGCATCGCTTCAAAACAATTCTGTAAAAGATTCCCTGAGCATTCATAAAATTTGACCACGAAACGTTACTTAGGGGTCATCCATAAAGTACGTAGGTAATGTTGCATTAATTGCTTCACTCTACTGATTCGCAAGAGGTTTCAGAAGTGAACCGAATTTCTCAAGAAAAAGAGCATATCGTTTTCGTACATCTTTAATTTTCTGCTGAATTCCACATACAATTGTTACGTGACTCTACGTTGCTCGTCCCTTACCTACACTTCGAGCGACTCTACTCTAACTCTACTTTAGTGTTTCTATTTAAATCTTTTATACGAAATTGCTCCATTTATCTAATAATACTGATTAATATACCAAACTTCTTATCTTACGGTTTTTATTGCAATTTAACCATGTGCCTGTGCATCATGCAGAATGCTCTGTGCATTTATGGTTCCTTATTGTCTGTTTCAACGAGTCTCTTAAATTTACTGTATCTCTAAGTATCTGATTTGGTTCCTTAAACAAACGAATAACTAAAATTTATACGTACTTATGATTTACTAATTTCCCACAAAACATTGAGCACGTTTTCAGCACAGGTAAGCACTCAGAGGGAGGGGGGGGGGTCGACCAAAAATCGTACACTTGCATAGGGGGGAGGGGTGTAATGGGTATGTAGTGCGTACGCTTAAGAAATTTCTAAACATGAAATTTGAGCCTTGCAAGCTTGCTCATTCATTGTTCTTATGGCAGAGATTTTAATGGTAAGTTTGTTGCATATTTTCATCCTTCCTAAAATCTGCTCTGTTAGATGAACTTGCTATTAAACTATGTAAAAAGCCTTGCCTTTTAATAAAAAGCATCTGCTACATCTGGTACAATAATCTCAATGTTAAAGAATCTGCTTTGATGTGCTTCATGTGATTACATAAATTAGACAACTGCATTAACATATATCATGACAAGGAATGGTCAATATGGACAAATCCCTGAAATCCCCTTGGAAACTCTCAATTATTTGCATTATACCTTGAAACGGGAGGGGTACACGAAAAGTGTACTTGTGCATACAAGGGGGAGGGGGTTCAGGTGTCAAAAAGTTGCTCTCAAACTGCGTAAGTACTTTATGGATGACCCCTTATTGAAGAAACTTAAATAAGGCATGTCAAGATTTTCAGCAAACTGCTTAAAGCTTCTTTCTCATGAAAAAATTGTATGTAACTGAGAAAGTTATTTCAGCAGTGCCCTTTAATTTTAACCATTTGGACAAATTTGCGGATGGGAAGAATAGTTGTTTGGAGGACAATAGGTATTCAAATGACATGTGGTATTTTTGCTAATGGAATATCTCTGTTTAAACAATTCTAAATAGCATTCATTGTCACTGGATGTGAAAGATTTGCCAAACAAGAGGAAATTGCTTGAATGCACAAAGGGAGTCAAACTCGAATTTGCTCCACATGTATAAACCCCATGTTCACACTTCTGGTGCGCAAAACATTAGTTGGTTGTAACAACACCAACAGCATTAGACTTATCAGGCCCTTTCCCACCCCAAAATTTATTTTAATTGATTGACCAAATTATTTTTCGAATGATATGCCGATTTTGATATGTTTTAAAGGGTGTTCAGCCTGTTCTTGGAGTGTTCAGTCTTTAAGAAATGACAAGTAGAAAAAACTCAATAGAAGTCAACAGAAGAGCTTTTTCTATTAACAATGCTGTAACCAGTTGTGTGACTCTAACAGGGTCACTAACCGGAGTCACTTAAACCGGAGTAAATAGGGGTATGGATGAAATTGAGAAACTTCATATTGCAGAGATTGATGAAATCAGCAAAGAAACATAAACTCAGGTCACAAGTCCATGTGTTTAATAGGATTTTAATATTGAATACCTATGCCTATAGATCATTTTTTTAGGCTAAGAAATTCATAATTTGGGGTTAAATTGTGGTATATCTCATGTCAATGTTTTAGGTACAAAGTTGTAAATTGGGAGCTTTTGCCAGCCCTGGAATCTGAGCCCTCTATGTTCAGTTATGTATGAAACTCTATTCCCTATTGTTATGGGTTAATTTCTTTTGTTCTAAGCATACCATTAAATAGTACACCAAAACAAACAAAAGAAGTAGTTTTTTATATTTTATCCCATAACTATAACCAGAAAAGAACAACGTTTGGGTCTATTGACTGAAGTAAAAAGCCCTTTCAAAATGCCAGATTTACTTTTGTCCCAGTTAAGTTTCTTTCATTTCTAAAAACTCACTTGTATATTGTGAGTAATTTATTGAAGGAAGAGCTCTTAATTGATAAGACTAATCAAGGAGAGAGCATCCCCTACATATTTTTACAATCAATTAGATTTCAAAGAATGCGTTTAGTGCAAGAGACTCATTGGTGTATATGATTTAAAACTGAGAAGCTGTCACTGCCATAGATTCTACATAGTTTGGATTGGTCTATGACATAATGGTATTGACTTTTTCTAACACCTAAGCCCAGAAGAGTCACTCAAACTTTTTATATATGGGGATTTCCATTCACAATTTTAGAAATTCACCTATAAAGTATCAAAAAAATTTTACCGACCCAAAATTATAGGCTAAAAAGTGTCCATAAAACCCAAAAATACCAAAATACAGAATCATGTTGTTGAACAAAAAAGAGACCAGTCATAGTAATTTAGACTTTTTCCAATAATAATAAGTTTAAATATATGTTTTTGATATTGTTATGTGCTATTTTGACCCATAAGTATCAAAAGGGTAAATTGTTAAATCAGTCACCCAAAGGTATAACATCACAAGAAAAATTCTAGCCAACAATTATCAGATGGATTCTCCCCATATAGAAAAATTTCCAGTGCTTCCTCCCCCTGGGCACCAAAGCAGAGAAATTAGACCAAGGTTGGGTCCGACATGCCAAATTTTTTTTTAAATTAAGCCTTCTAGAATAGCTTGAAATGCATCCCTAGACTGAAATTTAACAAAATACTATACTGCTCAGAATAGACCATTCAACTTTTCTCAGAAAATCACTGATTATTGATTTTTAGGAAAAATTTGGAAACGAAGGAGTCATGTAAAAACACTAGTGACAGGCATTAGGGAATGAAAGAAAGGGGGACTTTTGGTTCAGAGTGCATATCAATGTGAATGACAGGAAGCTGTTGCATTAATTGAAAGAACTTTACTTCCTGAAATAAAATGTGCATCTTCTTTGTATCAAGAATTTTCAGTAGGCCATGTTTACACATCAAAATGCAGACATTGCAGTGATACAGAAAGTTATCTACTGAATTGATGCATAAATAGAACAAATTGAATCAAGCAGTATATAAACAGTTTGTTATCTTTTTATTTCATGCTCTGTTTCAAAAATAAGTTAAAAAATGGTCAAAAAATGTTTATCTGTAAAAAATTAGAAGAAATGGGGAGGGGGCTTATGCCCCCAGGCCCCCCAGTGGTGCCATGACGGTTTAGGTGGGTAGATTAAAAAAAAACTGCCAAATTTATAAGGAAATGTTTAAAAATAGATGTTTCAATGTTAACACATTAGAAATAACTAAAAATCTAAGGGCAACACTTTGCATTTAATTGCAGGGGTGTAGCACCAATAGTTGCTTGACTGATAGCTAAAACCATTGTATATTGATCAGTTGATTGACCTGCCACATATAGCTATTTCTCAAAGTAGCTAACAGCAAATATTTTATTTGTGCAAAAAGATTGAAACTTGTTGTTTCCCCAGGTTGATGCTAAGAAGTAAAGGCAGCCATTCAGGTGACTCTAAGGAAAAAGTATCGTTAAACTCTGCTGGCAACTTCCAAAGTACACCACCCATTCCTTTGAAAGCTGAAAAGACAGAGGCAAAAATAAAAGCAACCAGGTGGCTATGGAATGATGAGATGACCAAATTTCTAATCGTTTGCCTTCATGACTATAAAAAGAGAAAGGAACTTGAGGGTATAGACATTCAATCAGATTTGGTAAACGTGTATGAAGATGTCAGACAAATGATGGCTGCATTGTACCCCCCTGAAAACTTTGGTCCAGTTAATGTATCCAGCATAACTCAAGGATTAAATAAAAGAGAACATCACAAACAATTCAATATCATACAAGAAGAAAGGAAAGGCATCAAACTTGGATATGGGCGAATCAGGGACAAAATAAGAGAAATGAGGCGCAATTTTAAAAAGGCAATCACGGAAGGTACCAAGGCTGAAAGTGGAAGGGTCATTCTCCAAAACTGGGAGTACCTGATGAATATTTGGGGTGAGTGCCGTTCTGAGATCAAAATAGAGGGAGCAATCACCCCACAAGTATTTATCTTGAATGATAATAACGATGTTGATGAACAACAAAATCATATTCTACTTAATGAGACTGAGGCACAAGGAAGGGAAGTACTAGAGGATCAAATCTTTAATTCAAAAAAGTCTCAACCATCAGAACAATCAAAGGGTGGGTATCTTAGCAACAAAAAACGTGCCAAGATGGACCAACAACTTTCAGCTCAGCAACAAGATATGATTACGATAGAAATAGCAAAAGAAGAATTAGAGTTGACGAAAAATATTGCAGAAAAACTAGAACAATCTGCCAAAAGTTTGGAAAATGTTGTTGAGACAATGGCAAAATCCTTAACAGACTTAAGTAACATCCTGATGTTGCTGTCAAGATCAACAGCTTCAGGACAGAATGCCAAATAGCCAAGCATTGTCATTGCCACCTCAACATCAAATTATCACATATTTCCACTATGACGCACTCAGTAGCAAGTATATACCAATTTTAACTCTTTTTTTAAGGACAATACAGAAAACCGTCACAGTTAACCAACTGGAAATATGATAATGAAATTTAGACTTTTCCTCTCAAAAGCTCTGAAAATTTAAATATTTCATATATTTTTAAATGTTTTTAGAAAATACAAAATTTTTCCTAGGATCCATCTCTTTTATAAAATAAATTGAAAAAACTTATTAATATTATAAAACGTAACCCGAATTAAATTAGTGGTTGGAAATGACAGCAGAATAGAAACACCAGTTATGCTGGGTTACAAAATATTTGAATGGTGAGAGCTGAAAGGCAGATGCTAAGGTTAAGTGACAGTTCGTTTCCATTCAAGTGTACTCCCATCACAGTGGGGAAAACTGATCAAAGTGCAGCTTGCATGAAATCAAAACAAGCCAATTTTATTGGATAATTATCAAATCTATTTTCATCACAACAAAAGTCACTTGGAGATCTCCACTTTGACTCAGGTCATTCAATTTAACATTCAATTGTTAATATATTTCGTTAATGCTTCTTGGTAGATACAGTCTTTACATTTTTCAGTTTTTAAAAAACGACCAAACAAAAATGCTATAAACATGTACTCGTGTATTTTAACGTAATGGTTTTTTAACTTTAATTTAATTCGAAAATGGAAAAACATTTGTAAAAAATCTAAAGTTGTTTTTAATGAAATATTTTTAAAACCAATTAAGAGGACAGTTTCTCCAAATGTTTTCTTGAAATTTTAATTTCAGTATTCATTCCTCTTAGATCATCGTCCAATTAATTTTATATTGCCAACCAGTTTGATATATTCCAGGATTACACTATTGCCATCTCTTTCTTCTCAACATAAGTCTTCTCTGACATCTGTATCTTGCCAAGACTCAATTCTTCTCCTCTAATACTTGATTTGCCAGGATTGGCAGTTATAAGTACAGGGCAAGGACTTATAACCAACCATCATCATCATCATCATCATCAGCATCAGCCAAAAAATAAATGCTCAGAAAGCAGGGGCGTGGCGTCACGACCGAGGGGTGTGAGAAGGGGGTGTCACTCCCCCCCCCAATAGTATCTCAATAGGAAATCATCAATAGGATAAGGAGGATTGCTTTAGTGGATTTGCTTAAAAGCAGGCCTTTTTTTAAGGCTCATTGATAACCAATTTGTGCAGTGATCAATCCAAAATGTGCCATGATAAATGGAAAATTGTGCAGTGATAAATTAGTTGAAACAGCAACATGAAGAATTCATACGACAAAAAATAACGAAAAATAAACAAACAGAACATAACGGTAACAGTACGAAAAGCAAAGCAAACAAATCAACAGTTTCTGGTGTATAATAGGGCCAGGTCGAAAACGCGGAATACGCGGAACACGCGGAAAAGTGAAATTTTGCTTTGAGCTTCTGGAATGGAAATATTTTTTAAAGGAATGAGAATTCCGCGTTTTCGATTTCGAAAGGGGGTGAAAATCGAAAACGCGGAGACCTTTAATAACCAATTATATTTGCTAATTTGATGACAAGCCTTTGATAAAGTTTAACACAGATTTTGTGGCTGCAAGAGTAACTAACGCCAGTCAAACAGGGTTGAACCTGGGTTTTTCTCCATTGTGAAAAGGAGCCAGTTTTCTCTGTATCTTTTCGTACAGTGTATGCTTTCTATCAGTAGCGGCGCCACGGGGTGGGGTGGGGGGGGGCTGAGGGAACATGTCAGGGGCAGATACAGGATGTCGAACAGGTCGCACGGGAGACCATCAAATTTTCAGAATTGAGTTTTCGTTTTCAGTAATTTAAATAAGGCAATAGATTTTACCATTACAGGCATCGCGGAGCAGGGGGCTGGAGGGCTTTAGCCCCCCCTACGTTTTGCAAAAATTCCAAATATTAAGTAATAAACTACCAGTAACGCCTCTTTACATAGGGTTTTAGCCGCCCCCACTTTCTTAAGACCCCTCACTTTTCTCAACGCTCCGCGGTGCCTGCATTTATTTTCCTCCTCAGGGCTAATACTCCCTGGTCTATCACACACCTAACGCTACCAGTGTGTGTTGTTGAATTGGGTATGCGGCGTTGGGTGTGGTTAACAGGCAACGCCTCTGTAAGAGACAAGGGGTAAACCCCTGAATACTACAGCCTTTTAACGACACCTTATTGTTAAAATCGTGTTTGTTTATACACGAATTCCTAGCATTTCAAAACAGAACACCTAAAGCACAAAACTAAATGAACTTCATATTAATGAAAATATATGATTATATTTTCACAGTCATCGTGTTACGTATGTTATTAAATAGATAGAATCATGGAATATATGAATTCGTATAATAGCTACAGTCACAGCTGGGGCAAAAGAGGGGTCGCGGATCGGGCCTCGCTTTGTGTGGTTCAACCCAGGAGCGGACTGGCTAATTTTTTTGGCCCGGGCAAATTTTGATCAAACCGGCCCACAAAAACAGCAATTAAAAAACTCCTCGGAAAATGCAAGTAAATGTTAGTCTGTAAGGGAAACAAGTTTTTGAATTCAGTAGTTTTGTGCATGGGTAAATGCTGGTTAACAGAACATGTTAAATATGTCATTTGCTGACTAAATGGTAAATGAACAAAAATTATAACTCATTGGTTTGACTTTCTTTCTAAATACAGTAACTTATATGTTGATAATGTGATCGTTCTAGATGTCATCTGAAAGGTGTTTTTTTTAAGAACATTAACACGAAGGACTCCAAGTTTGGCTGCGAAAAATTACCACGTAATATATTCATTATATATTTAAAGTGGATAAGCTTCTATCACACTCAACTTGTGACAAATAATTTTCTAATCCTCCGGAAAACCACAATGATTTTCAGCAGCCCAAAAATATCGATTTGTCAATTTCTGACCCCAAAAAGAAAACATGGGCACCCCTGTTGAAATGATATCGTGTAACACCATACCCCTGTTGGGCGGGGGTTCCATTTGACTTATGATAGTATATGCCTAATAAATTTACCATAACTTGTATGAGTTTATTGAAAAGAGCAAGAGCAAGACCCTGCTGTCTTTTGTGACGTTTGTGGCTTTTCCTTGATAAAAAAAGCTTTGTATCGTAGCTGAATCCTTTTTAAGTCTCGCAGCTTTTCCTCGCGAAATTTCTGTGCACCACCTTTGTTTGAAGTCTTCTTGCTCTTCCCTTGTTCTACGTATGTCCTCTTCATTGCTTCACATCACAGAGCAAATCGCTTAGTGAACTCTAATTTTTGGACTTTTAAATTTATTACATTTAGCAATAGCTTGTGCTTAGGGAAAAACATGACCAGCTTCAAGCAAAAGCTAGGTAAAAAGACATCGGGGCAGGTTAAAATCTTGCCAGCGTAAATGTTGCGTCGTTTTGCCACCTTGTCCAGTCTTGTTCAGCGATGTTGAATGTTGTTCAGTCGATTTTGAAGGCAGCCAAAAATGTTCAGTGAACAGGATTAAATTTTTTTTTGTTCATAGATGTTGTAGAGAAATGTTCAGTCATTTGCCACCCTAATGAACATTGTCCAGTTCGCGCACGCGCAATTATTTCCCATTTTCAAATCTTCAACAAACTTTCCTAGTCAACACCGCGAACGAAATGGAAATAACGTGAAAATTCAATTCGACCAATAGCAGAAAAAGGCATTGCATTAGTAACGACGAGACTTCTGATCAGATTAGCTTTAGTTCCGATTAGGAAAGCGATGTCAGAGAGCACGAGGACGGTGATTATGATGAACCTAGCAGTCCTAGCCACTTTTCAATAATACACTCTAATACACCAATTCGACTTACGACCTCGTTTTGGAAATTTCTCCAAACTTAATTATACGACTTTCTTAAGCTCAGATTTGGTTTTATCGTCATAATTTTAGGCGGGATACCATTTTTCATATTGTTTGAGCTTGTATTTTAGATTTAACCGAGAAATGAAGTTTGGAAACTTATAAGGGATTTGACAGCAAAAATCGTTCCGGGGGAAACTTTACCCCCCTAGTCGCCAATCACGGTCAAATCCCTTATAAAGTTTTTATCTTTATGTCGTCATAAAATCAATATCGTGAGCAATATCATAATGAAAACTCACAAGTAGACTAAAATCATTGCTGTCAATCCGAATCTGAGGTAAAATTTTGTACAAAAGAATTTGAAGAATTTTTCAAAATGAGGCCGTAGGTCGAATTGATGTATTCATACGATAACACGGTTAGGGCTATGAAAAGTGTATTTTCAAAGGTAAAGAGATGCCCTGTTGCCAGTTTTCCCACCCGCATTCTTCAACAGGGAAAAAGTTCACTGGACAATGTTCAGTCGTTTTGCCACCACCAATATTTTCTTGATGTCCATACTCTGAACAAGTGAGCAATGTCCAGTGTGTGACCAGTGCAAATGTCCAGTCGTTTGGCCGGGGCTTTATTTATCGCATTGAAACAGGGATGTTACAGTATAATAAGTTGCCAAAAAGGAAATACCGTCAAGAGAAAATATAATAAAATGTCAATAACATGTTCCCTGAAGAAGTGTGTTTGGGCTGCGGTGACAATAATGAATTCATAATTTCCATGGTTTTGGAGTACCCGCGTGTATATTTATTCTTTCCAACAAAGTCTCTGAAAATTCAAGGCAAACAGATCAACGCGTGGGTATACTTTTTGCCTCGCATTTACTTTTTAAGCTAATTTATTTTTTTGCACTTTTATCAACCGGCCCTCAAACCGACCGGCCCTTCGGGCGATCGCCCGAATAGCCCGACCAGCCAGTCCGCCCCTGGTTCAACCTTGCTTTCAGATATGCTATTGCATGTTTTTATGTTAAGGGGGAAAAACAACTGGTTTAGATCAGAGAATACGGTTAGAATTCCGCATACCCGGAAGCGATATTTTGGGTGTGGCCATAAGATAATTAATTTTGTATGCTGCTTTTATGTGTTTCAACTGAGCGAAGCGAATGAGCTCGTTGCTTGTTACTTGAAGGCAAGACAGGCACAGCGGAGCGTTGAGAAAAGGCAGGGGTCTAAAAAAAGCGGGGGGGGGGCTTTGGGGGGGCTTTAATCTGCTCCGCAGTACCTGCAGGAGGCTTAAGTAGCGATATTGAAGAACCCTCAAAAATTTAATATCTCGCAATTGATACAGAGTTTGATGCAGATTTATCGTCTTGCACAGGATAAAAAATGTTTCCAATGTAATGAGCTGCTTGTATAGCCTTTGTAAATTTCCTTCACTGGCGATTGAAACGGTAATATTTGAAGGAAGTTTTGTTTTCCATTAAGTATTTATTAGAATAAATAAAAATTGACTGTATATGGGAACTAAGCTATAACGATAGGTGAAGCGGAGTCTTATAATTTCGTCTACTTGAAACAGAGTTTTCAAGGTTTTGACTTCCAAATATTTAAAGCCTTATCAAACTGCAGTAACATCAAATATTTTCCTTTAAAATGAAGGAAGTTCGAGTCTAATTTTGGAGCTTGGCGTCTTCATTGGGAGCATCTACCTTGCTTAGTGCCGAAAACAAGCATTTAACGCAGGGTGAAGCAGAACAGCAGTTGGATCAAGGATCGTCTCGATCAAGTTGCGTGGACTGGTAAAATTTTTGGACGGGCCAAGGGGGGGCAAAAAATTCTAATTAAGCAGGCAATGCCCCTGTGCCTCGTTGGCTTAGTCCCTGGAGCAGCATCACATTGTTTCAAAACAGATTTCCCAATTTCAAAAATATTGGGTAAAAATACAAAAATAGAAAAGTATTCACTTTATTAATTATGTGTGAACAAATGCAAAATTCTTATTATTTTGAATTCTTACTATTCACTAATTTAGGTTAGAAAGGCTTAAAATAAAACATCATTTCAGGGTTGGAAATGAGATACTTCAAAAAAGTTGAAATTTTCAGCTTGTTCCACTGACACTTATATTTATACCTTGTGATACAACACATCCACAACTTGAAACAATCTATTGAATATCTTTGAAAATAAACTCTTATATGAATATATATTCAAGAATAAACAATACAGACACAATCACTGACTGTGGCCTTTTCAAGTGTTTTATTTACAAGAAAAGGCCAACTTGTACAAAAGTAAGACTACTCTATAAGAACATAGAAAACAGTACATCAAAACTAACAAATAGTTTTTGGCCAGTTTGACCTTCTTATGAACATATTGTCTGATCTTTTACTGTAACTAGTCTCTGGCCTTTGAATCAAACAGTTAACTGGCATTTGAGTACTTCTGGATTTAGAATCATACAGATGATAGACATTCCCTTGTAATACCCTGTATTGACCTGGGTATTCAGTGAAGTCACCCTCTGACAGTGTTGGCATCTTGCTACTGCTGTTGTCTCTCTGATTTTGGCTGCCAACTATATGCTCATCCTTCAAATTAGTTTCAATTCCATAGTTTCTTATTCTGATATCTTTGAAATTATGACTGCTTCTCAAATCCAACAAAGTCTGACTGCTGATTGACAACTCTTGTTTAGTAAACCTATCTATGTCATTTGTAGAGCATGAAGACTTACTCCGCTGACTTGGAAAGTTTGTCACCCTCTGCAGCACCAGTCTTGGTCTTTGATCATGAGACTTTTTACTTTGGACTTTGTCAGCTAGCTTATTTAACTTATTCTCCATAACCCAAGACATAAACTTTTGATTCCACTGCAAATCTTCTCTATTGATGTAAAACAAAGACTGGGTTGTTTCACTAGACTCTTGGTAATCTGCCTGGAGATGTTTGGATGAGGGCAAAGAATGTACTTGTACAAGCAAAACCTTTGTATCTGGAACTGACACAATATGTGCCAGTCTTTGGGGCCCTAGCAGTACTTTTTCACCAACAGCTGGACTATGTTCAAGACTTGCATTTAGACTTCTGCTTCTTAGTAAAGGAGCAGTTGATGGTCTCTGAGACTTTCTTGCTTCATAATACGTAATGTTAAGACCTTTGAGCCCATCTCTAGGTTCTTTGAAATAATTACTGTAAACAAAGAGACTATGTTGCTTTGCCTGTTTGACTTGCACTGTTATTAACTCTAAAAGTCTTTCTTTTGATTTATAAACATCACATTTGCAAATGTGTTCATGGATGTCATGCTCGATATTAGGGTTAAGTGTGGCTGAAGACAGTATGCTAATGACACTCGGATCTTCCAGAAAAATTGTAAAATCTGGAACAAGACAAAATAAATGAGCAATCTCACTAGCAATAACATGGTGATACTTAGCCTCTACATCGATATCA